TCTATTCTTGAGATTTAAAGTAAATTATTTTACTATTAAAATAGAACTAAACACAAAGATTTTTCTGCTAAGTGTAAATACATGCTAACTTTAATTAGAGCTCTCTTTACCCAGTGTACTTAACTACAGTTCCTGCTTCTGTTTGCTTTTCACAAATTTTCTGTTTTGCCAACTATCATATAGTAAAAGATTCCAAGCCGGGCGTGGTGGCTCACGCCTGTAATCCCAGCACTTTAGGAGGCTGAGGTGGGTGGATCACCTGAGGCCAGGACTTCAAGATCAGCTTGACCAACTTGATGAAACCTCGTCTCTACTAAAAATGTGAAATTAGCCAGGTGTGGTGGCACACTTCTGTAATCCCAGCTACTCGGGAGGCTGAGGCAGGAGAATAGCCTGAACCTGGGAGACAGGTTGCAGTGAGCTGAAATTGTGCTACTGCACTCCAGCCTGGGTGACAGAGGTTGACTCCATCTCAAAATTAATTCATTAATTAAATTAAATATGAAAATGTTCCAAATAATTTATACACTGTTAATCCTAATAAGCAGTAATAATTTGTCATATTACTAATTCATGAATTCTTATCATCTTAAGCAATATTTATATTATATATCACTCATTTTTTTCCTCAGCATATATGCATTAAATATAAACAATATGCCAGCTGGTGTTCTAGCACTAGAGATACATCACAAAGAAAGCAGACAGTAAACAAATAGGTAAAAATATCATGTTAGATGGCAGCCATATGCACAGTGGCCATCAATAAAGCATATTAAGAAAAAGGTCTGTGGGAATGGGAAATACACCTTCATATAAGATGGTTAGAGATGACCTCACTAATCCCAAGTCATGTAAGTAGAGACCAGAAGAAAGGAAGTGAGCAAGCCAGGTGTGCTTGTGCGCACATATGTGTGTTTGTGTACACCTAGAGAAAGTGCTCTCAGGCAGAAGCAGCAGCACTTGCAAAGGCCTTCGGGCTGGAGCTTGCTTCGTGTGTTTGAGGACTAGCTAGGAGGCCAGCATGGCTTGAGAGAAGGGGAACAGGGCAAGTCATGGGGTAGATAAGGTCAGATTGTGGGAAGCAGGCCTCATAGGTCATGTGGACCATTGTAAAGGCTTTGGCTTTTACCTTGTGTGCCACCATTACAGGATTTTGAGTCAAGGAATACTGTAATAATGACTCATGCTTGAAGAGGCTCAGAATAGTGTGTGACCAGTTATCTGACAAAGAAAGCACTGGGAAAGAGCAAGGAGGCTGCCTACGTACTCAGGGATAAGCTGATGGTGTGTGGGATCAGTGGATCAGTGGTAGATATGGTGGAGGAAGGTCAGGTTCTGGGTGTGTTTTGAAGTTAGAGCTGGCAGAAATGAATTTCTAAACTGAGCCCATAGAAACAATAATTTTTAAACCTTGATTACTCTGGGTCTACTAAACGTTCATAAAATACAACTGGTTTAAATTTCTCTCTGGTAGGGCGTGGTGGCTCATGCCTGTAATCCCAGTGCTTTGGGAGGCCAAGGCAGGTGGGTCATGAGGTCAGGAGTTCGAGACTAGCCTGGCCAACATGGTGAAATCCCGTCTCTCCTAAAAATACAAAAAATTAGCTGGGCATGGTGGCAAGTGCCTGTAATCCTAGCTGTTGGAGGCTGAGGCAGAGGTTGCAGTGAGCCAAGACCACACCCCAGCACTCCAGCCTGGGCAACAGAGCAAGACTCTGTCTCAAAAAATAAATAAATAAATAAAAATTCTCTCAAGGCTTTTGTGAAAACATACTTTATAATGTACGAAATAGCAAGTTTTAGGACTTCCTTTCTTAGGGTCTTCTTTACCTGCCTTGCTGATTCAATGATAAGCATTTTATTTTAAATTTCATTGGTTTTTAAGGTCTCCACTTTAGACAAGTCAGGTGGAAAATGTCTAATATAAGTAAGGATATTCAAAATACTCCATTATTGCTTTTCAAATACTGTATAGTTTTCATGGTTTAATTGGGTTTCTATTGCTTCTTATTTTTTTCCATCAAAATATAGCAGAAGGAAAGTAAGGATAAGAGCATCATCTTTGAAGGGCAAGAGACCTAGGTTCAAGTCCAGGTTCCTGCATTTCCCAGCTGTGTGACCTTGGGTAATTAACCTAACCTCTCTGAGCCTCAGCAGCCTTCTCTTTTGGAAAGGAGACAGGATTGCTGTGAACTTGATATGTTATTCTGCATGTAAAATAATCAGTACAAAATACCAGAAACACCTTTAAAATTCTCTAAGTGCCAATCATTATGTTTATTTTAATAATTACAGTGACAAGATGTTGATGACATGGGAAGTATTGCATTTATTGGGAAGAATTATTGTAGGAGGAGCTCTTGCCTTTAGACTTGACTACTGCAAAGTTAGCATTTGTTACCAATAATTTAGATATAGAAAGCTGCTTCATGTGCCTACTCTTCAGTACTTAGTTTGATATATATACTAAAATAAGGATGTGTAAATAAAGACAAGTCCAAATTGCTAAACATGGTATTTAACCTGTCAGATTTGTACCTGATGTAGTGATAAATTCAGTAAAATGGTGGTCCTTCACTCTATATAACAGCCTTTTCTTAGTGAAGGGTGACACAAGTGGGCTTCCCCTGACTTACCTTTCTCACTTGTCATCACCTGACCCCCTGGCTCCATTCTGTAGAGCAGGCAGTGTGCCACAGTGAAGTCTAATATGATAGGACAACTTACAGTCACTGAAGATGACAACCTCAATTGACAGTTGAACCAAATAGCAAAGTTTACTCATATTTAATCATATAGCGTCTGCCAGGTAGCTAAGCCAAAGGATTATATCAATCAGCAGAATAATAAAGATAAGTTATTTGCTCTTTTTATCAAGTTTGCATAGATAGATTCAGTGAAATAATCACTCATAACTTTATGGTATGAGTTTTTATTGCTGTCTACAGAATAATGTAATTTAGGTATAGTTTTTATCTGAATACCCAAATTCCCAAATTAATGGTTTATAGAGAATTTTCCAGTTGAACTTTTGTAATTATTGTCAATGCTTATTCATAGGTTACAGTCTGTGTTTTGTATTAACATTCGCTCAATGGAAATTGATTTTAAAGTAATATATGAAAAATCCATTATTAAATTAATATAAAACATTAGGATTAGCTCATAGTTCACTGCCTTATAATTTATGCATTAGACTTTTTCTCCTTCCTAAAAATACTTGAAAGACTAATATTTGGCCATTATTTTTTCCATAGTTAACATTCAAAATGCATTCAGATGGAATAAATGTGATGATATATTATTCTGCATGTGAAATTGAATAATGTAAATAATGTTTCCCTCTTTAGAAATAAAATATTGTAAGGAATGTTTTTAAAGCATGAATTTCCAGCATGATGTGAGTCTCTGAAGTAAAAATTATGTACGCTATATTGGAAAAAAATCTCTCATACTTAAATGATACTTTGATTTGACTGAAAGGTCATTATGTCAGTATAATTCAGGTATAAGTTTAAAATTAATTGCTTTCAACTTAATTGACTAGTTAACAAGCTTCAAACATATGCACACACATGCATATGACTATATGTATATATATAAAAAGGAACAAATAAAAATCTTATTAGGAAAGTTATTTTAAGCATTCATTTTTCTTTGTTTTCAATAATTCTTGTTTCTACCTATTTTATACATAACCATTAAAATTAGTACATTAGAATGATAAATGCACAAGTCTTTGGGAATTAAAATATATCTTTAGAGTACCCATGTAATCCTAGTACTTTGGGAGGCCAAGGCGTGCTGATCACCTGAGGTCAGGAGTTCCAGACCAGCCTGATGAATATGGTGAAACCCCATCTGTACAAACAATACAAAAATTAGCCAGGTATGGTGGTGGGCGCCTATAATCCCAGCTACTTTGGAGACTGAGGCAGGAGAATTGCTTGAACCCCAGGAGGCAGAGCAGTGAGCCAAGATCATGCTATTGAACTCCAGCCTGGGCAACAAGAGCAAAACTCCTTCTCAAATAAGTAAACAAACAAACAAACAAACAAACAAAGAGGTGGGAAATGATTGATGTTAATTATCAAGTGCAAAAGGCTTATTTTGTTGCTAAGATATATAAACAGGCTTTGAAATTAATATGAAATTCATATGTTTTTCTCTGCAGTAACAGAGACAGTTAAGATTTATATATTCAAAATTTTCAATGATTGCTATTCAGTCAGATATCTAAATTGATATAGAATAAATTCCAAATTTCTGTTATTTGATATATTTTATATTTTTAATCCTAATCTTAGTAAAATAAGATTTCTTTTCAGTCTTTATAACTACTTTGTAAAATTCTAATGAAACTCACATTGATTTTACAGGAATATTTAAACAAAAAAATCTTGAAAAGAAATAAGCTGTCTTTCTTTCCTGTATGTTTTAATTCTAATATTTATTTTTGTTCATATGCCCACATATTTAACCCAACAAAAAGAGAGCAATGAACTTCTACATGTATCCAAAATTTCTGTATTTCTTACAATAATTAAATCTCCAATTCTGTGTTAGCTGAATTATTATTTGGAAGAGAAGCAGTTAAGACACTTTACCTTACATTCACTAGTTTTTAATAATAATTTCATTCAGGGGATTTCACTTAGCTGGTCAAATGTTTGGTACTACTTTAAATCACTTTTCACTGACATTTTCAAGGACTACTCATTGTTTTTGGTAGATCTGGAAGATATTTATTGTAATCTTTTACCTTGAAGGCTGTCTAAAAGAGAGTAATTCCATTCCATTCATTCTAAGTCAAAATATAAAGCAAATGGCTGCAAATATTTACAGTAAATTTCCACAAAATTAATATGTATACAGTGAACTGATATGCCTTTTCCTTAATTATTTGGATTTTTTGAAAAATATATAAATGTATAAAATATATAAAAGTAAATGCTCTATCAATATAAATTATTGATTCTTCTTTTTTCTTTTTTAAGGCCTGATGGAATTGGGACTGTTTCAGTGGAAGAAAAAGAAAGATTTGAGGAGATAAAAGAGAGACTTTCTTCCCTTTTAGAAAATCAGATAAGCCATTTCAGGTATATATTTTATTCATTAATATAAATATTTCTTTTCATACTTCACTCAACCCTTCCTTCCCCCACAAATTGTTTATTATATCATTCTACTAGTACTCAAGATCATCAGTAGCCCTCCATTACCAGCAGAGTAAGGTTCACATTCTTCAGTCTGTGGTCTGCTGCTCAGCCTATCATTCAGTCCCTACTACTCATTTAGGTTAGCCATTCCCCGTACAATGTACATTCCACTGCACCTCTTACTTGCCTTTTGCATTTCTCAGTCTTGCATAGTCTCTTCCCCCTAGCTCTGGTGACTGTTCCTCCTGCTTTCTGTATCACCAGGTAAGGAGCCCTCAACTCTCACCTCCACAGTGGAGTCTTTCTCCATTATTCCAGCAAAGAGTATCCTGAAGTCTTTGAGCAATTATTGTCTGTACTATTTTCTTTTCACTTATAACCCATATGGATTTAAAGTCGTTGTTCTCTTTTTATATACATTTTTAAAATGATATTGAAAGGTGAAATTCTCATAGTATATACTATGAATCTATTCTCCTACATTAGTGATTTTTTAACTGGGGCTGGTAGCACTACTTTATGGTAAGTGAATGAGGCAGGATTTTCCTTGTCGTGATAACCAGGGGTAGGGACAATCATTTAGTGCTGGGTTTAAAAGTACAGTGCATGAGACAATCCCACATTGGAGAGTTATTCTGCCCAAAAGGCCAGTAAATTTACATTAGGAAATACTGTTGTAGATAGCATAGTTGAATTCAACTTACAAAGTTAAGATTGAATTCTCTGCCTGAAATGATTTTTGAGTTTTCAAACAAAATGGAGACATAAAAAATTCTTTTGCATTTGTAGAAATGTGTTTCTGCATTTGCTGTTGTTCAAGCATTGCCTTAGCTAGGTGGGGTGGCTCACACCTATAATCCCAGCACTTTAGGAGGAAAGGTTGCTTGAGCCCAGGAGTTCAAGACCAGCCTAGGCAACATAACATGACCCCATCTCTACAAAAAAGAAAAACAAAAAAATTAGCTGAGTGTGGTGGTGTGTGCCTGTGGTCCCAGCTACTCCAGAGGCAGAGGTAGGAAGATCACTTGAGTCTGGGGGGTCAATGCTGCACTGACTCTGTCTCAAAAATAAATAAATTGATAAATAAACAAAAAGGAAAAAAAGTGTTGTCTCCTAGGTTGTATAGAATCCTTTAAATGTATTTTATATATCTTTCAGTGAAAATCAGTGTAATTTTTCTCTTTTTTGCTACCATTGAGACCCAGCCATCATTCAATTAGATATTTATATTAGTAACTGAATAAGTCTCTATTATTATATTAATGATTTCAACTGCAAGGAATATAAATTCTACCTCAAACAGGTTTAAACAATAAATAAATTTATATGCTCACTTGCATGCAGGTCTCCAGCAGGCAAGCTTTAAGACAAGGTTTCGGTAGCCATAGCTGTCTTTCTTTGTGATTCTCACATTGCTATTCTCTTTTATTGGATAGCTTCATCCCCAGACTGGTAGCAAGATTATATAATTTTTTGATTTTTTTCTCTTTATCTCACTCCTTTGCCATTAAGCCTACAGAATTTCTTGGCCTCTCATTCATACATGTCAGTGTTCAAAGGAAGTTACAGAAGCTGTATTTTTCTGTAGTTTTCTCTTAAGATCATCCTTGGAAGATCCTAGCAAACTATTATTTGTATCTCATGAACCTGGTTTTGAACCAAAACCAGTGGCCAGAGGAATTCTATACACTGGATGCCTCAATCAGTCACTGACATTGACATGGGATTGCTATATTGAGTTTGACTAATCAGAACCACCCACCAGGGGATTTCAATCCCGCATACTGCCACCCAAAAACTACTACTAAATAGTAGTGGACAGTAATGTCCACATCATTTATTGTATTCATTTTATATTAGTATCATTTTAGTTTCATTTCCTCTCTTAAAGTTTTGTTTCTCTATTTCTCTTATATGCACATAATCTTTAGATAATTTCTCTAAAAAAGTACTTTACAATCCTGATATGGTTTGGCTCTGTGTCCCAACCCCAATCTCACTTTGAATTGTAATAATCTTCACATGTCAAGGGCAGGACCAGGTGAAGGTAATTGTACCATGGGGGAGGTTTCCCCCATGTTGTTCTCCTGGTGAGTCTTATGAGAGCCGATGGTTCTATTAGCATCTGCCATTTCCTCTACTTGCACTCATTCTCTCTCCTTCTGTGAAGCCTTCTGCCATGACTATAAGTTCCCCGAGGCCTCCCCAGCCATGTGGAACTGTGAGTCAGTTAAACCTCTTCTTTTTAAATAAATTACCCAGTCTTGGGTATTTCCTTATAGCAATGTGAGAACAGACTAGTACAAATCCCTTTCATTTTATGTCTTTAATGTACTGAGGACTAGAATTGAGATTAACTGGCATAGACATTTTGGGCTGACATTTTTCTTTTTTGATGTTCTTAGAGTTTGTAAAATTTTTTTACCAATTTTATCTTTCCCGAGTCTACAAAAGACTAGATAAGAGGAAATAGGATTAAAATGAGGTAGAAATTTAACTGACCATATAGGCAACTAGAAAACAACATATTAAAATTGTCTGTTAGAACTCATATTCTGCCAAATTACCCCCCTTAGCCACTTAATGTTAAAATTTAGAAAAAAAAATTCTTTAGAATTTACACTAAAGAAGTAAAAATATTACCATTAATAACTCTTGTATAGGAATTTATTTAGGCCCAACTGTGTTCTAGAAATGGTTTTCAAAAACAGGCAAAATAGGGCAAACTAAACCATTCATGAGGAACTTCTGATTAAAGATGGGAGATTGAGCGCATGTCTAGCTCAGTGCCCTCATAGAACCTAGCTAAAACAATAGAACAGTATTTTTCAAGAAGATATAAACCCACAGAACAGCAAGAGTAAGAGGAGAAAATGGCAAAGACAAAAATTTGAAAAGAAAATGGAAAGTCAGAAGGACGATTGGTATCCAATCTAGCCATCCAGGAAAAAAAAAATAAGTAATAAACTGACAGTGTGAAATCAGAGAAGCAATCTAATTTATATCACATAACCACCAAAATGTTTAAGAATTACCCTATCTAGTATCAAACCCCACAAGAAAGTAAGAGTGGCCAAGCCCAGTGGCTCACACTTGTAATCCCATCACTTTGGGAGTTCAAGGTAGGTGGATCATTTGAGCCCAGGAGTTCAAGACTAGCCTTGGCAACAAGGCAAAAGACCATCCCTACAAAAATATTAGCCAGGTGTGTCACATGCCTGTAGTCCCAGCTACCTGGGAGGCTGAGGCGGGAGGATCACTTAAGCCCAGAGGTCAAGGCTGTGGTGAATCATGATCTTACCACTGCAGTCCAGCCTGAGTGATAGAATGAGACCCTGTTTCAAGGAAAAAAAATAATAATAATAAGAGTGAAGGATAGTGTATGATACTGTTAAGTCTCTGGAGAAGGTAAAATTCAATGTTGCCTGGATTGGATTAGAGGAGGGGAGGAAACATCAGGCACAGTTGAAGGTAGAAACAGATTAAATAATTGCTTATTCTGAAATTTGAAAATCATAGACCTCTCCCAACTAAGACACTTGGTTCTCAAATGGTAGCACACAGGCTTATGCCTTCCAGGCATATTGCAAGTGTTTTCCTCTGTGTCTCTGACTAGCCCAAGAGAAAAGACCTAAAGCTGTGGACAACAAAGAATTCCTAGTATAACAGCCCAGCCAGATTTCCTTTCTGCAAAAATCATTGTCTACATGTGCTACCAAAAGGCATGTAGCTTCCATTCAGAAATACCGTACTTTTGAAAATCATCAAGTAGCCCAGATATCAGACATTGAGGAAAAAAAAAATCAATATAAAAAAGCCTAACACAAGTAAATACAAAAAGAAAAAGCAATTTGGAAAGACAAAGATAGTATGGGGAGAAGAAAATCAGAGGAAAATATATTACTAATATCCTTAGAGAATTTTGAATATACAAGTGCATTTATAAAACAAAAACAAGATGTTGCTAAAACAGAAAAAGAAAACTCAGAAAATAAGAGTGCTTCAAAAATTTTATGCAAATACTGCATATGCAGGAAACAAATCCACATTAGTGAAAGATTAGGTTAACAAACCTCCCAAAAAGTAGACCAGGGCTGAAAAACAGGAAAACAGAAGCACAAAGATAAGAAAAAAAAATATCTGCCTATGAGTTTCATCATCATGAATAATAGGAATTCCAGAAATAAGGCTGAAGATAGGAAATTGTCAATAAAATTATTCTAAAATTTCCAGAATTAAAAGAGGTAAGTTTTTAGATTAAAAGAGTCTATTGAGAACCCAGCACAATGGATTAACATATATACACATCGGGGTACATTTTCACAATTTTTCAGAAACTTAAGATCCTAAAATCTTCCAAAAAGAGAAACCAGATTTTATACAATGAATTAGAATGACTTCTTACCCAGCATTGATTTATTCTGCAAATATTTATTGAGTTCCTACTATGTGTCAGACAGTGAACAAAACTTTAAAAGGTCCTTTTCCTCAACTTTCATTTTGATGTGAGGAACAATACTGATACCGGGAAAACAGTGATATCGTAATTCTGAGAAACTGTAATTTCCAAACTAGAATTCTATAAAATAGTTTCTATTAAGAACAATGGTAGAATAATGATATTTTCAGACATACACTCAAAAAATGTGCCTTCTTTATTCTCTTTGGTGAATTGTAGAACTTACCAAAACCAGGATGAAACAAAGAGGATCTAAGATCCCTGAAACTGGTCAGGTGTGGTGACTCACACCTGTAATCCCAACACTTTGGGAGGCTGAGGTGGGTGGCTTACTGGAGGTCAGTAATTCGAGACCAGCTTGGCAACATGGCGAAACCCCACTTCTACTAAAAATATAAAATTAGATGGTCATAGTGGTGCGCGCCTATAGTCCCAGTTACTTGAGAGGCTGAGGCATGAGAATCACTTGGACCTAGGAGGC